CTCTCTCTCTCTCTCTCACACACACACACACACACACACACACACACACACACACACACACACACACACACACACATATACGCGGCCCGACGTGATCACGCCGCGAGTCATTTCACAGCGGCGGTTTCTGTGCCCCCCTATAGTCTCTCTCTCTCTCTCTCTCTCTCTCTCTCTCTCTCTCTCTCTCTCTCTCTGACACACACACACACACACACACACACACACGGCCGAAGCAGTGAGGGGATTTTAGACACTGCTCTCGCTCCTCCCGTTAACGAGGAGACTCACCGATCAAATATTGAACTGATCTATGAAATTGTTCTTTTTCCCTTTTTTTATCGTCGTCGTCCGATGGACCACGGATGAAATACTGAACTGATCAAATGCGCTCAGTCAGCAAAGAATTGCAGTAAATATTTGCTGACGCAGCAAAAATTCCCCCCTAGAGAGGCAAGACGATTCTGCACACACACACACACACACACACAGAGAGAGAGAGAGAGAGAGAGAGAGAGAGAGAGAGAGAGAGAGAGAGAGAGAGAGAGAGAGAGAGAGAAGATGTGACTCGGGAGGGTGTCAACAAAGTGGAGGCGAGGGAACGAACGGGGGTTGATGATGGAGGAAGGAAGAATGCGGGTGATCATGGAGAAGAGGCGGGGGGGAAAAAAGGGGGGGCGGGGGGGGGTCTAGACACTGCTCTCACTCCTCGTCCTGCTAACGAGGAGACTCAACTCTGTGCTGGCATCCAAACGCACTAGTCAGGACCATATTCATCTGAATCTGGTCCACCACTCTTGATCTCTTGCTGCTCGGACCATATTCATCTGAATCTGGTCCGCCTGTTTGTGATCACCTGTTTGTTCGGGGCTGGGGGTGACAACAAAGTCGAGGCTACGGAGCAGGGTTTGATGATGGAGGAAGGGTGGGGTGGGTGGATGGATGGATGGGGGGGGGTAATCATGGAGGAGGTGGGGAGAGAGAGGTGATGTTCGCTGGCTAGCTACCTATCACTCATCACTGATATAGCTGTTGGAATTCTTCTTTTAAAAAAAAAAAAAAATTTAGGGAAGAAAAAGGGTGACGACCTTGAGATATCATCATCATTTGTTCCTGACCGTCGCTAGGTAATTGAGAAGTGTAGTATTTCACTCTTCCCCCGAATACAACGCCCGGTGGAGTTCGAACTTGGGTCTGTATTTCAACAGTTCGGGGGTGTGTACCATCTGGGCTACCTTCTTCCCCCGAATACAACGCACGGTCATTATAGCTGTATTTGAGGCATTTTCCAGTCTAGATATAGCTGTAATGACCGTGCGTTGTATTCGGGGGAAGAAGCTAGGCCAGGTGGTGTTGGAATTCGTTCGGTAAATGTAATCTCTACGAAATTCCAACTGAAGAAAGTTAAACCAACTGGAAATGAAAAAAAAAGAAAAGAAAAAAAAAAGGACTTGAAATGATGAAAGGGTAAGAGTTCCCTGTGTGTGTGTGTGTGGGCGAGGGGGTGGAGGCTGTCTCTTATACACATCTAGATGTGTATAAGAGACAGGTGCTGCTCGGTGCAGTGATTCACAGTATTTGCTG